TATCTACCAGCATTCTTATTTAAAAATAAAGACAAAGAAAATAAAAAATCTCTATACATTACGCTATGTAATTTAAGTGAACTCTTTAGTTTTATTTCCACATATCTGATTGTGTGTGTGTGATTTTTAATTCTACAACTTACTGCTGCTGCTTTTTTTTTTAATTGTGATAAGAACACTCAACATGAGATCAACCCACTTAACAAAATTTTGGGCATACAATAGAATATTGTTAATTACTACTTCTTAACAGATAAATATCTGGCCATTACAAGTTTAGCTACCTTTTAACTACTTTTTAACATCTTTGTTAAAATATAATTAACATCATGCAATTCACTCATTTAAAGTGTACAATTTGATGGTTTTTAGTATAATCACAGATATGTACAACCATCACCACAGTCAATTTTAGAACATTTTCATTTCCTCAAGAAGAAACCTATACCCTCTACCCACCTCCCCCAACCTTAAGCAGCCATTAATCTACTACCCTTCTCCATAGATTTGCCTCTTCTGGACATTTCATATAAATAGAATCATATAATGTGTAGTCCTTTGTGACCGATGTCTTTCACTTAGCATAATGTTTTCAAAGTTCATTCATGTAGGAGCATGAATTAGTACTTCATTTATTTTTTTTGGCTAAATAATATTTATTCATGGATATAACACATTTTGTTTATGCATTCCTTAGGTGGTAGACATTTGGATTACTTTCACTTTTTGCTATTATGAATAATGCTGCTATAAACATTTATGTATGAGTTTCATATGGACATATGTTTTCATTTCTCTTGGGTATATACAGAGAAATGAAATTGGTGGGTTGTATGGTAACTTTTTTTAACCATATGAGGAACTGCCAACTGTTTTCGAAAATGGCTGTATCATTTTGTATTCCCACTAGCAGTGTGTTAGGGTTCCAATTTCTGCACATTCTCACCAACTCTTGTTATAATCTTTTTTATTATAGTCATCTGAGTGTATGTGAAGTGGTATCTTGTGTTTTTGATTTGCATTTCATTGATGACAAGTGATGTTGAGCATCTTTTCATTTGTCTGTTGACCATTGTATGTCTTTTTGGAGAGAAATGTCTATTCAAGTCTTTTGTCCATTTAAAAAATTGGGTAATTTGTTTTTATGTTGGTGAATTTTAAGATTTTAAAATATATTCTAAATACTAGACCCTGATCAGATATATGATTTGCAAATATTTCCTCTCATTCTGTAGATTTTCTTTTCTCTTTCTGGATAGTGTCCTTTAATACACAAAACATTTTTAATTGTGATGAAGTTCAATTTATCTTTTTTTTTTTTTGCTTATGCTTTAGATGTCATATCTAAGAAAGTGTTTTCAAAGGTCATGAAGATTTATTCCTGTGTTTTCTTCTAAGAGTTTTATAGTTTTAGCTCCTATATTTAGGTCTGTGATCCATTTTGAGTTAATTTTGCATATAGTATGAGTTAGGGGATCCAACTTTATTCTTCTGCTTGTAGATGCCCCATTGTTGCAGCATCATTTGTTTAAGAGACTATATTCTTTCTCCAGAATGGTCTTGACACCTTTGTTCAAATCAATTGACCATAAGCATATGAGTTTATTTCTGGACTCTCAGTTCTGTTCCAATGGTCTGTATATCTATTTTTATGTCAATACCACACTCTTTAAGTAGCTTTGTAGTGTGCTTTGAAAAGTGTGAGTGTTCCAACTTTTTATTTTCAAGATTGTTTTGGTTTTGGGGTCGATTGCAACTTCATATGAATTTAAGAATCAACTTCTCCATTCCTGCAGAAATGGTTTTTGAGATTTTGATAGAAATTTTTGAGGAGTATCGCAGTCTTAAGATTAGTCCTCCAGCCCATGAACATGGGATGTCTTTCTCCTTATTTAGATCTTCTTTAATTTCTTTCAGCAATATTTTGTAGTTTTCAATGTAACAGTCTTATACCTCCTTGGTTAAATTTATTACTAAGTATTTTATTCTTTGTGATGCTTTTGTAGTAGAATTGTTCTCTGAATTTCATTCTTGTATTGTTCATCACAAGTGCACAGATACACAAATGATTTTTGTATATTGATTCTGTATTCTGCAAAGTTGCTGAACTTATTACTCATACTAGTATTTTAGTGGATTCCTTAGGATTTTATATATATAAGATTATGTTCTCAGGGAATAAAGAGATAGTTTTACTTCTCTCTTTTATGATATGGATGCCTTTTATTTAATTCTAGCTTCAACTAAAACCTCCAGGACTATGTTAAATAGAAGTGATGAGAGCCGGTTTCCTCCTTTTGTTACAGATCTTAAGGGGAAAGAATTCAGTCTTTCAAAATTAAGTTTGATGTTAGCTGTGGGTTTTTCATGCATACCCTTTATCACATTAAGGAAGTTCCCATCTATTCCTGGTTTGTTGACTGTCATGAAAAGGTATTGGATTCTTTTTCTATTGGATTCTATTTCTTATCGTATCCATTTTAATTTCAATATCTTACATCAATTAATTTCAATAATTAACTTCAGTATCTTATATCAATACTCTACATTTTTAAACATTTATTTTGATTTCAAAATGAATGCTTCCTAAATTTTTCTTTTACTTACTTCAGTAACTAATCAGTTAAAAGGAGGCTCTTCCTTTATATCGTAAACATTGTGGTTTTCTTTTTTAAAAATACTTCTATAGCTGTGTTTTTTTTTCTCTCTCTCTCTCTCTCCACATTTGAGCAAGGAGAGGTCTGTTTCTCAGTATACAAGGTCGTGGGTATTCTGTTGTCCACCTTGAGTGCTGTTAGACTTTCCCCTCGGTCTGGACCTAGAAGGGGAATCACAGTGCAAAGGCTCTTGTCAAAGTTCTGTGTCAAGCGCTCACTCATTTAATGTGCCTCAGTGCTGAGGAGAAGTTTCCTGCTTATCATGATGGGCTATCTGACTGTATAGAAGAGGATTTACTTCTGAAAACTTTGGAAATGCATGTATATGTGTCCAGAGCCAACCTTGACTAGACTGTGCCTCTGGTGGCCTGTCCCACTGCTGCAGTCACATCTTACGATGCAGTCTGCTGTGACCTTCACTGTGCCATTCCAGAGTCTAAATGGGGCCTTAGAATGGAGGGAGACTGAGAAGTGCAGATTCAAGGATAATATGAATGGCCTTGATTTGCACCAGCTCCCCCAAAAATGTAAAAGATTTTTTAAAAGAGAAGGTTAGGAATGAGCTAACTGTTCCTCTCATCATCAAAGGCCCCAAGTGTCTGATATAAGGCCAAAAGTATTTATCAGTGTTTCTTTTGCACAAACACTTTTCTAAGTGCCTCATATGTATTAATTTTACAGTCCTTATAACTACTCTATTATTACATTTTACAGATCATGAGACTGAGGCACAAAAATGAGAACTTTCTAAGGTCATGCAGCTACTGAGTGGTGAGGTCAGCATTAAACCTACAGCCTGACTCTCCTTCCTTAACACTCTATATATTTAATCTGTCTGTCTGTCTGTCTATCTGTATGTATGTCTATCTATCTATCTATCTAATCATCTATCATCTATCTACTTATCAATTAATCTACCTATCTATCCAGTCAGATAGTATAGAAATATACAATTATGTACACACACACACACACACACACACAGGCATGCACACCAGCAACATTTCCTCCTTTACTATCCTTGTTCTGCTTCTGCCCCAGGGCACAGCTGAGCTCTGGTAGAGGATACATTCTCCTTAGGGCCTGACTGGTTCTGAATAGCACTCCTAGTTTCCTTTGTTCTTGGAATCTTGTATCACTTTGGGTATTTTCACGACTATTTAAATAAGGAAAGTGAACAGAGAACCACTAGCAGCTTTCATCTGAACTCAGAAGTCCTCATGAAATTCTTTGCATATAAACTTGATCTTAATGACTATGCTTATTTTACTGATGAGAAAATTAATATCCAGAACAATTAGGCAACCTCCCTCCCCAAGACATAAAACTACGCATGGCCAAGCAGCATGAGAGCTCATCCTCACCTGGTTTGTTCTCCACTATGTTTTAGCAGGTAAACTGTCTAAGAAACTGGTGAAGTAAAAATGCAGCTGTTTTTCTTAATCTGCTGCCAGTTTCATATACTCTCAAAAGCCACATGCAAAATTTTATTTACCCTGTTTTTTTTTATGTTTTTTTTTTTTTTTTTTTTTTTTTTACACTGGAAAATGGAATGTAGATCCTTAACTGAGATTTTTCTCGAATTGGGCTGGGTGGAAATGTCTTTTTGAGCTCTTTTATTTGACATCTTATTAACTTTTTTAAACTCCCATTGTTTTACTCTTGACAGACCTGTTACGGTTCAGATGTGAGACAAATGCACATGTAGAGGAAGCTTCTCTAATAGGCTATATTTGCCTCAGACTACTGAGGTTATGTAAAAAACAAAATCCGAAGTACACACACCAGGGCATCCACCTCATTGTAAATTTATCTGGCATATTTAATTGACTTCTAGGTTAGACTGTTATCAAAGCCTGTGATAAATTGTTGAGTGCTGGCCTTAATGATGTTCTTAGCATTTCCTTTTAGCACAGAAAGAAGTTTTGCCATTGTTGGGAGGAGGTGGCTTCCATGCACGCGGGTGACAGGGCCTCAGAGGCAGTCCTGCTTAGGTTCGCAGCCTGGGCAGGCTGCATGTTATTACACAAGTAAACAGTATTTATATCCCTAGTAACATCAGTTATGGTAAACAGCAACTATTTAGACTTTAGTTCTTTAATAAAAATCCTCTGAATTGGTTTTTAAAAGTCAGGCTCTGGTGGCAGAAGCAAGTAGGAGAGAAAAGAATAGAATAATTGGAGGTTGCTGTCTTTTCACTTCCCACATAAAATTATTTGAAGAGACAGGCCAGAACTTTAAACAGGAATACCAAGAGAAGTTGTCATTTAGATGTCAGTTGTCGTGACTTTAGGGTGTTTGCTTAAAGGACTTTCCCCCATATTCCTCTCTCTCTCTCTCCAGACATACTTCAATGACAATATCCTTACCCTGATACGGACCCTGGTGACCGGAGGAGCCACGCCAGAGCTCGAGGCTCTGATTGCTGAGGAGAATGCACTTCGAGGGGGCTACAGCACTCCCCAGACGCTGGCCAACAGGGACCGCTGCCGAGTAGCCCAGTTAGCACTGTTGGATGGGCCCTTTGCAGACTTGGGGGTAAGTTCACAACTCCCGGGCCACCTGAGCCCACTATTTGGTAATGAGCTTGGTCCAAATGAGCTGGGTGCCAGATAATGACAAGCTGGGCATCTGTCTTTTCTGCCTTCACCAGTAAATAACTAAGAGGTGAAGTTTACGTTTTTCTGTATATCAGGCACAGTGCTTTACACGTAATCATCCTTTTTCATCCCCATGGCAATCCTTTGACATAGATTCTTTTATCAGACTCTAAAAAAAACTGAGGCTCAGAGAGACTGAAGGCCCTAATAGGAACTTGCACCAGGAACCCTGGCTTCGGAGCCTGTGGCTTGCTCACTTCCCTCAGGTGTCTCCGATGATGAGATAGGGAACAGCAGGTGATTCCAACTTGCAGCCAAAATAGGAACCCTTTCCACAGAGTCTTAGCAATCCTCAGGCTACTTAACCCCAACTGCACATTAGTAGGCCATGAAGAGCTTTTACAAACCACCCAGGATTCTGAGCTTTTGTGTCTGAGTAGGTCCCAAGTACTGGTGGTTTTCAGAACACCACCAGTAATTATGTGCATCCAGAACCACTGGCCAAACAAACAGCATCTCATGTGGCTCCTTTAACATCTCTAATTCCAGACCCGGGTCTTCTAATTTCTTCCCTTTCGCAGAAGTGACCAGTGTCTCTCTTTGGCTTCCACACACCAGCCTGGTCCAAACACTTTGGGAGAAGTATGCCATCTCGAGCCTTATTCCCAGCTTTACTCCAGATATGCCTTCAAGGGTTGGAGCCCCAAGTCTTGGGAACTTGTACACTCATTGCACAAACAGTGGTGTCGCTCAAGGAAAGGGTCACTTTCTTGATTTCTTTTGAAGCCCTGATGCCGACTTGCACCATATTTTGCTTTGGTTATAGGCAGGAACCTATGTTAGACTGGGCTTTTTTGAAAGGCAGCTTCCATAGCTAGTGACTCTTTTTATCTGTCATTTACTTACTAATACACTTTAAAAGGACAAACACTTTAACGGTAAGATTCGGCCCCATTTGTGTTCTTTAATATGATGCCCATATGGAAATTCCAATGACAGGAAGGGCAAATGCAGTCACTTTATTCCCAGTGAAGTCATTCTTCAGTGCCTTTCCTGTGATAATGCCTACATGAAGCCACCTGGCTGCATAAAGCCAGTATTTCCAAGTAAATGAATTTGCTTTCACATTCCACTTCGGGCCCCAGACCCTTGGAAGGTGACTGTGACCTGATTAGAACTGTGAATCCCAGTTATTCAGCCTGCAGACCTCCAGCTTCCTGAGGAAACACATCCTCTTCCACTCTTGCCATCTCTGAGGTTTGTAAATTGTGCTTTTCACACAGTCCTTACCCGAAAGAGTCTGTCACCATAGTACCTGGTGGGGTCTTTTCTCCTTGCGGTGATTTTAATTATCACTAGAGCAGTTTTGACAACACGGTCAGAGCACAGTGATTACAGCCAAGCTGGGGCCAAACATAATCACCATTTTGCAGAACTGGTTTCTTCTCCTCAGCTGAACACACAACTGAGACCTTCAAGCTTTATACTCACTTAAAGTGAAGGAAAGGCACAGTCTCCTTAGAGCTCTCATTGCTACAGATGGAAAGCTAGGGAGAACCAGGGGAAAACTACATTATCTGATTCATAAAAACCACCAATATTGGGTATAGGCTGGTAACCAAATTGACCTTTTCAGCCACAGTCCCTTGGTTCAGACCCTCCGACTCAGGAGACAGCAAAACAAGCTGCCATGAAAAGGCTCATTTCCCCCTGGACCTCTACTTTCAGGCCAATAAAAATAATGTTTTTCTTTGTTCTGTTGTCTCCCAGGATGGTGGTTGTTATGGTGATCTGTTCTGCAAAGCTCTGAAAACGTATAATATGCTTTGTTTTGGAATTTATCGGCTGAGAGATGCTCACCTCAGCACCCCCAGCCAATGCACAAAGAGGTGAGTATGTTTACACTCTGCTCTTCCACCCAAATGCAAAGACATAGATGCTCTGTCCTTGCCCCCCCACTATGAAGGCAAAGGCCTCTATACGAGCACTCAAATGCAAATTACTCTGCCCACATTCAATCCAACACCGAGTTTGGAGGTTATGGGAAGCTTTTTTCTTTAATTTCTAATAGCACATGTAAAGACATTGTGGGAAGAATTCAAGTTTTATAGAATAGTTCCATCACCTAATTACAAAAGTTTGAATAAAAGCACCTCCTCCAAATTCCAGCTACTGGGATGATTCTTTTGGTACCTATTATAGAGATATTTCATACTGCTAATGTTTAAGATAAATGTTTTTTTGTTTTTTTCGGGGTTTTTTTGCCATCTTAGGTGCCTATTCTTCTTACTATATTTTTAATCGACTCACTCATTTATTTTATATATTTTAAGAAAATCGTGTATCATCACTTTAAGAGGAAAAAAACAACAGTTTATGTATGTATGCTAGTTGTATTTTTCTAATATGCATTAAAATAAATTCATGGCAGCCCCAAATTAAAGTACATCCTAAAATTACCAAAAGTGGCGTATTTGCGTAATATACCCCGGGAAACAGGGCTGTAAAGATGAGTGTTTCTCAGGCCTGCCTGCATATTGGAATCATTGAAGATACTTTTTAAAAATACTCTGATTAGTCTGACTTAACTGATCTGGAATGAAAATATATATAATTTTTTAATGCCTAGAAATTACAGTGTATAGGCAGAGCTGAGAATAATTGCTATAGACCAGTGGGTTCTCAAAGTTTAGTGAGCACGAGAATCACCTGCAAAACTTGTTAAAACACAGACTGCTGGACCCCACGCACAGAGTGTCCAATTCAGGTTTGGGGTGGGGTTGCTTAAGAATTTTCATTCTTAAGAAGTTCTCAAGTGATGCTGGTATATCTGGTATATCTGGCCTGAAGAACACACTGTGAGATCTACTGCTGTAGATGAAACAGTGATTTTTTTTTTCTTTTTTTTTCAGTTGTGTTTGGTGTTAACCAGAGAAAGCCCGATCAAATTGAGAACTGTTAAAGCAGGACCTACTTATAGTCAGGGAGATATTTTATGTTCTTCTACTTACTAAAATCCCCACTAAAGTTGATTTTTTGAAAGATAAAGAGTGAGGATGGACTAAGAAGATGTTAGATTATGGTAAGCAAAGATCCTGTGATGGAACATTCTAGAATGAAAGATGCAGTATAGTCCATGAAACCTCCTGCATGTACTTGTGCTACTTCAGAAGTGAACTTGACAGTGTCTTGAAAGGGGCGCATAGGCCATAGGAAGCACAGTTTGGTTTTCCCATTACTGGCACTAATTCAGCATCTTGAGATGCCAGGGCTCATGGCTGGTCTCCTCTGTCGAGCTAAACAGAGGAATATTTACTTCTACTTGGAAGATAATTTTTAAGGCCTTGAACCATCTAAAAGTCCTCCTTCCAGATCCTCTGGGAGAACTGAAGAAGCAGGCAGTTCCTTCTGATTGCAAGAGAAGTGAAATCTCTACTCAGTCATCCTCATTCTGTGACATCTTTGCTCTCCCCGTCTAGGTACGTCATCACCAACCCCCCATACGAGTTTGAGCTCGTGCCGACGGACCTGATCTTCTGCTTAATGCAGTTTGACCACAACGCCGGCCAGTCCCGGGCCAGCCTCTCCCATTCCTCCCACTCGTCCCAGTCCTCCAGCAAGAAGAGCTCGTCCATTCACTCCATCCCATCCACAGCAAACCGACCGAACCGGCCCAAGTCCCGGGAGTCCCGAGACAAACAGAAGTATGTGCAGGAAGAGAGGCTCTGATATATGTATCCACTGCCACCGTGTGTGAAACTGTATCTGCCACTCATTTCCCCAGTGGGTGTTTCCAAAAGTAACTTCCCCTGTTTTCCCCTGTAGTCCTCCCCTTTTTTTTACACATATTTGCATATGTATGATAGTGTGCATGTGGTTGTCATTTTTATTTCACCACCATAAAACCCTTGAGCACAACAGCAAATAAGCAGAAGGACCAAAAGTTATTTATGATCCTAGGGGAAAAATAACCCAAAGGCATGCTCCTGACATAAATAGCTTACTGCAGGAATGAGTTCACAGATTAGCAGAGAGCACTTGAGATCAATGTCAGTTAAGATAGTTAATTTACTTGATGTAGAAGAAAAGTTTATTCCGATTTATCAGAATTATCAGGGTGCTTTGGGTTTTGATTTCGTTCTTTTCCTTTCTTTCTTTTTTTATATACACACAGTAATATATACACACATGTTTATTTGAAACGAGCAACCAAAAAGCAACGAAAACCTTTCGATTGTTTTCACTCTTTAGGCTGAAGTATTGCGAAGCATTTGAAAAGCTTTCGCCATTTGTGTAGATGATTATTAAGCACTTGCTTGTTGCAAGAGAACATCTGAGATTTTTTTAGTTACTAACCAAGGCCTTTTGTCCCAGAGCTAGTTTCCTTTGGGAGTTCAGATGAACCTTGCTACCCTTACTGTGGGGGAAGAATAGTATTCCATTTGTGGATGTATCAAATTCTAGTCATTTAATTTAAGTGAAAAGAGGTTTGATTGCATATTAAATTGTTATTCTGTCTCCTTACGCTGCCATATGAATAGCTATTTTTTTCTTTCACTTTTGACATTTGGGATGAAAAGCCATATGTATCATAAATATCAGATGTAAGTCATTAAAAACTGCCTTCCTGAGACTTTTACATCTTTTAAAAGGTGAATTACTTACCTTATGTACAGAATAAATAATGCTCAGGAAAGAGCAAGTATTTTTCCATGCTTTCTCAGGGGACCTTTTTACTCCCCTCTGTTTGATAGCTAGGGTCCCCATGCCAGGTAGGAGCAAGGGCTGGGGCCATGGTAGAGGGAGAGGAAGATAAACCCAGCAGTAGATCATGTTTTCTAGGAGCCAACATGCTAAATAAATTAGAATGTAGGAGGATCAAGCCACAGTTGATTCAACAAAAACAAAAGACAGCTACCACCTTAAACTGTTGGTACAGCTGCATGATGCTGGCTGTCCCAAAGCAGAAAGCTGATGGGAAAAACCCCTCCTCATCAATTTCTTTAACATAACCAATTCATTTAGGCAGGTGAAGGACAATCATAGAGAACTTCTTGTCATTATGAGATGGGGAGGAGAAGAAGAGTACAATAGTGAGCCAAACATATTTTGGTATAATTATTTTTTCTTTTGTTCTCTCTCTCTCTCTCTTTCTTTCTAGCAGTTAGTAAGCATGAGAGGAAAGGTAGAAAAATACCTTTTTTTCAATATATAATTGTCAGATGTTTTATGCATGCGAATTATGCTTTAGGTGGTACAATAGTTCTTAAAAATCTGCCCACTCTACCTTAACCAAATTCTTACATAAATGGACTAGCCCTAGGCTGGTATATACGTATTTGAAGTGTTTACTTTAAAAAAAATTCTATGGAATAGAATAGGGGTGGAGGGGAGGAGAAAAATGTTACAGCTGTACCATCTCTAAAAAGGTGTTTTTATGGTGAATCTTTTGGGTTTAGATTTTGGATCCCCTGTCCCCCTAAGCATGATAGTTTTGGAGATTTGCTTGCTGTGTGAATTGACAAGCACTTTTACTGACGAAATGATGAGGCTCAATCAGAACATCCACCCCCCACACCAAAGACATGGAAGTGCAGTATTCAAACCAGTAATGGAGTGGGGAATACTTGTATACATGTATATTAAAAAGCCCTATGAGTGGAAGATTTTTTCAAATTATTTTTGTCCCTATACATAATTGTTTTATATATAACGTATAACTATCTTTTTATATATAACTATATAAATATCTATACATACACATACATACATATATATGTATGTGTACACACACACACACACACACACACACACACTTATTCCCTAGTTTTGGATCATGAAGAATTCTTCATGCATTCTTTGCAAAGGAGGTTATAAAGTTATGCCCTCAGAACATTTATAACTATAAGAATGTGCCAGTTAAAGTGCTCAGTAGGAAATATGACAGTTTAAAAGCATTGAAAAACTCACATAGCTTACTTCTCTCTCTAAAGTGCAACAAGGATGAATAGAATGGGCCAAGGTATGACAATTAATGGTTCTGCATGACCTAGCCACTGCTGGGGGTTTTCTTCTATAACATTGTCCTTGTGAAAACTTTTGTGAAATTAAAAAAAAAAGGAGTTACAAATTTTATTCTGTTATTGTTTTATTTTTATTTACACTTTTCTGTTTGTAATTTTCTTTATTTTGTTTTGCTTTTTTCCCCCGTCCCCATTTCCCTTCCTTTCCTTTTCCTTCTTCTCCTCCTTCCTCCACTTTCTAAATTGCTCAGAGCAATGAGGCTGTGCTACTGCTACTGCTAGATCCCTTAGAGTTTGTTTTGGTGTTCTTGGGTTTGGAGTTGGGTGATTTGGGGGGAACTTCTCTCCATCTGGCTTGCCTTTTAATATGCACGTGGCCTCCCTGCCCACCTTGGTACCTTGCTCCAAGTTCGAAAGCATTTTCCCATTAAGAAACCCAGCTTCCTCCACTTCCCCCCATTACCACCACCCCAACCCAGTTCACCATCAGTCTGTCCACATCTCTGTGTTTATCTCAGTAAGACCTACTAAATCAAGTGATGACGCAAGGTGATAAGCTTTTCTGAAAAACATTTGCAGCTATTCCTTTTGGCAAATCTCCTTCTCAATTAATATTTTATCCTCCTTTTGATTGGAACCAGGAGGGTTATTAATGGCAAAAGCATTGGTCTTCTTTATGTTTCATCAGTATGACCCCACATTAAAACTTTTCAGCTGTATGTATCAAATCAATAGCCCACACCCAGTTACCTGGAGGATGACGATTCAGTCTCTTACCCAGGTCTCTCCTGCCACCTGCCTTCAGACATTTATTAAATCTCAACCAGAGATTTGGCAGATAGAGAGAAGTAAATCCAAAATGCATTTGATATACAATCTGTTAGCAGCTCTGATGAGATGATGTTGTGGAGGGAATGGAGTGGGAATGGACTGACATGAGATGAAAATGTGGGGTTTTCCCCTGGACTTTGGGCACATAATTGAAAGTTGACTACACTTGGGTAATGACATGTTTAATAATGAAAAAGATATTATTATTACTACTTCTATTTCATTAGCCAAAACAACTATATTATACTTCCCTCAATAGAACAAAGAGTCCACTCCATTGTCTTCTGTGTGACCCCAAACTTCCCATTCCTCTTTCAGGTTCTCTTTGGAAGGAGGCATATAAGTTTTTCATATTATGTGTCTCCTCTTCTCCCACCTCCCTATTAAAAAAAAGAGACAAGTAGATTAGGGTAGAAAGTGAAAGAGTTATTTGGAGAGAAAGTTTGTGCACTTAAAAAGAACAACAGCTAGAAACTCAATTATCTACACCATCCTAGAAGAGAAGCAATTTATAAGCCAGATCAGTCCAATTTGCTTGAGGCTTCGAAAGGGGTAAACCTGAAGTAAGTGGGTAGACCAGGAGGCTCAGTGAACTTTCTCAGCTTCAAAACTCAGATGATCATGAAATTATCAACTCAAGGTCCTTCCTGAAGCCAGTTCAAATGGATATAGAAAAAGCTGGATCCCCTATATGTGTAGTTAGATTTCTATCATGGTTAGGTAAGATTTCAAATTCTGTTATAAATATTAAAGGTTATGACCCAGAACTTTACTCACAATAAGTGCTCAATATATATTTTGAAATAACCTTAAACATTTTTACATCTTTTATAAAGTATAAATTTTATAATCCTTTTACAAATTATCTCTACCCTCTTGGCTTATCTTAAAAAAAAAATACAAGAAATGTCCGTAGATGCTTCACAATGCCACTGTGCTGTTAGCGTTTTCTCGAGCTGGGTACACAGCTTCCGAGAAAGGGGAACAGTCCTGTAAGCTTGGTGAGTAGAGAGACTGTGTCTTCTGTCAGCATTGTCAAGATCCCAGGTGACCAGAAAAACCTTTGGACTGGCTCTTCTTCAGCATGGGAAAAGCCTAAAGGTGTCTGCATCCCAATAGAGACAATTAAATCAACCTGCCAGGTTCCTATAGCAACAGGCTCTTGAAGGAGAAAGGAGAGTACAGAAACTTCAGGGCTTGTAGAAGTCAAGACAGGGTAAAAATCAATGTCTCAGCTTCTTTCAGCCCTTCCCTGCTTTGTCATAACATGATAAAGAAGTAGCTGTGGGCACCTGTCACTAACCTAGCTGCCTAGTTCCCATCAGGAGGTTGCACATTCATTGCATGGGGAAGTGAGAGGAATTATCCCTGCCACCTGGAAAGAAAGAGTGCAAATTCCACCCTCCAGGGGTCCAAGGGCCAGGAGGGAGCAGTTTGCTCTGCCCAGCGAATGGCAGCTTTGGACTTTCAGTTAAAAGAGGCAAACACAGTCATAGAGGACAATTGCAATGAAGTGAGACAGTTTTCATAAATGGAAACTGCTCCTTTTCTGGTACAAATGATTTTAATTTCTATAAAATAGCCACACTTTGTCCACAGAGAGGAAAGGAGGCAGTATGCATGTGTGGGGTCCACTGGGAGGCTTGGGGTCCGTGGGGCAGAGGGCGAATGCCAGACTCCCTCTCAGAAATGTGAGATGTGAAACCACACAGCATTACCTTTGAAGTTTGAGCTCCTTGTTAGCTCGTACTGTCCTCAACTGTTATCTCTATCCAAACGGAATCTTTTTCTTTCAAGCCCTTTCTCTCTAAACCTCAGCTTGTGGTATAGCGAGAAGAGGGCCAATTATTCCAAATGCCTTTGCTGTATCATCGTCTCCCCTTTCATGCATTCTCCTCTGGGGAGTAGTTATGTGAAAAGGCTAAATCCCACAGCACTGACAATCCACAGAGCCAGCAAAGAGACTCAATTTTCACAGTGCAGCCTGTTTCTCTGCTTCTGGGTCCCCAGACAGTTATGTCAGCCTATATCTGGGGCCCTTTTCCACCAGAGCTTACTATTCTGGGATTCCTTGTGCCTGGAGGAAATCTTGACCCTTATTCTGGACCCTTCAATTTCAGTGATGAAAGATGGACAGACAGTGGAGATGGTTTGCAGGTGAGGTAGGACATCTGTCAAGCGAAAGCCAATATTTCAAAGACACAGGTACCACATGAGGTTAGCAGCCCTGACCTCCCCAGGCAGAACACTCATCACTCCTCCTCACCTTCCAAATGAAGACTACCAAACCAAATCCTTCTCTGCCATCTTTACTGCCACAATTCTCATTTTTCAGGCGACCGCCCAGTTTTTTACACCTCAGTTATTCACTCCAGTCTCATTTGTAATCATATTGAAAGGTACTACTCATCCTTACATAGTCCTTTAGTACTTACATTAATGCTAACCTTATACTAAAATTTAACACTTTAGTGCTTACCACGGGTCAGATGTTCTTCTAAGCACTTTACATATATCAGCTCATTCAATCTTTAAGACACCCTCAGGTGTAGATGCTATTGGTATCTCCATTTGAAAGATGCAGTATCTGAGAGACGGATTTGTTCAAAGTCACCTAGCCAGGAAGTGGCAGGGTAGAATTTAAAACTGGAGTCTGTAAATTTTGCCTCTATGACATAATGCCTGCTAATGTTACAAATAATACTAATAATCTTAACAGCTCACATTTACTTACTATGTGGTAAGTGATTCATGGGCACTAGCCCTTTTTATCCAAACAACAACATTAGGAAAATCCTATCATTAGCCCCATTTTACAGAAGAGCAACTAAAGCTAAGATAAATTACATAATGACTTGCTCAGAGCCTTGCAACTAGTATGTGAGTGAGCCAGATTCATTTGAGTTTAACCTACTGCCCTATGCCATCTCCTTGGCCTACACCTCATTGCTCGTCTGTGCCTGACAGCCCATGGCGTGGCTGGTCTTGCTAGTGACATCTCCCAATGGCAGTGTCAGTTCTTTTACCAGCATCTCCTTAAGTTATTTTCCACGTTTTATCTTGTTTGACTAGCCCACTAGCCACAGATCGTGTGCAATGCCACTCCTTTCCTAACTCCAGGCAGGTCACACATTGTACTCACAGTGATGACATCATCCATCTCATCCTCAAGAAGCTGATTAACAAATGGGGCTATTTTTCTCTGGCAGTGAGGAGACCCTCACATCCAGATCATTGCCTTTCTCATCTTAGGGATTAAACAAAGCTCCCAGAAGTTTTTTGGCATGTCGGATGAGGCAGGGAGAGGAGGTACACAGGAATTTGAATTTATCCTGGACCAACTACTTCAGCATTCCCTTGAATTTCTTCCCTGAGCACCCTTTTTTATGGCCAATTTTGTAGCCACCCATTGGCCCAGTTTCTTCTTTGGAAGGCAATATTCAGTAAACCAAAGTGTCATTGTCATCCTCAGATTGCTCTCCTCTGAAGTAGAATGACTGGCTATCATTAAGTGTGTGTCTCCCTTAAGCTGTTTTGGGAAAATCTCTTCATAAAATACCTTCGCTCCTAGATATTTTGGTACAATGCTCACAGCATTAATATATTTTCATTTTCTTAACATCCTATCTAACCAATTTTCCAACAACACATATATCTTACAAGCTACTCTAATTAAAAAACCTCAGCTGATCACCGGGATGTGTTTTAACACAACTCCCTCTTGTGTTGAAGCTGAATGACCAACACACTGGGGCTACTCTGCTTAGATTTCTTTTTATGGCAAGAAATTTAAAAGGAAAGAGAAAGAAGCTTAAATGGGGAAATAATGTTCTTTCTTGCAGCAGACAGCAGAAGGAAATTGATATTCTCTCTGCCGTGAAAGGTCAAAATGCCAACTTTGAAGTGAACTGTAAAGACTAAATTCTGAACAATTATTGTCTACAGCAGTTGTAAAAATTTCAGCAAATTGAAGCTGTCTTGGGTCTTTCACCCAAAAGACTTATTTGTTTCCATAAGCAGAGTTCACTCTCCCTTCCAACCTGGCATGTCCAACTTATCACTAAATCCCTTTGCAAAATCAGCCCACATGATAGCATGGCCAAAACCAAGGGTGGAGCAGGCAAACAGCACAGACGCCAGCTTCAGCACTTCTAAAAATCACCTTTACACATAAACCATTGGAAAAAATCGTAGTTTGAAATTGTTTCAGCGGCCTGGCAATGCTTTTAAACATGATAACCATCACACTTTACTCCTCCCTGAAAGGTTAGTTTAATCGTA